GGGGGGGGGGGGGTATCTTGACGAAGCATCTTGTGTTTTCGGTCTGGTGGTGATTGTGTAAAGGTAGCTAATGAGAGGGTTATGATCGACCAGCGGTGCGTTCGAATGGAGCGGGTTGCCGTTTGACAGGTGCTTTGTCTGTGATCGATGACGACCAAGTGACACTTGTGTATTAAACCAATGGGTAGGAAAAGCCAACCATTCTCTTTGGAGTTTTAAAGATCATAACTCCCATATCGCTGTAGCGATGTTTATCTTCTGTTTATCTTTCGTGCTGGAAGCTGTGTCATACTTATTATTTATTATTGATGGATAGATACTGTTTTAATTCCGTGTTAAAATGTGTTATTGAAAAGTCAATTACAATGCCGTTTTTATGTATCCTTGGTCGACATAACACACACTACCCTTTCAATATCGGAAATATTTCCAACTATCTCCAGCAGGATTTCTCAAAAATTGTTTTCTGTGTGCTTATCGTTGACAGGCCATCCATCATACACAGAAATCTCACAAAAATATCAAATGTTGGAATAAAGGTGTTCATATGAATCAATTTCGTTTGCGTGTTTATGTATTAATCTGATAATACAAATAATAACAGCGCAGTTACTCGGTAATTATAGAACAAAGCTTTACATGGCTCCTTTATTGCCTGTGTGTGTCTAGCCCTCCTTGCTCTAGATCACGAGATTCTGACATACACAACGTCTGTATTATTAGTCCGATCGCAGATTTTTTGCATTTTTTAATACCAGATTTATGAAAAATTCAGTCGAATCTCGTGCAGTCATATTTTCCCCCAAAAAAATATTTAATACTTCTTTCCTAAGAAATATATTTTTCCTCAAAGCTTTTCCCCCATTACGTGTGTGTAATGCTAATAAAGCAACGTGCATCGTTACACCTTCACGAGGAAGATGTTTCATTCACAGAACCTGTATGGTTGTGTTCAATTTTGAATTTTAAACCTTGGTACGTTTATACCCATTAAGAAGCTTGGCAGTTAGCAGAGGATTAAGGTTTAGTATGACACATTATGTGATATAGCCACGTCCCCCTCCCTACCAAGTCGCCTTCACTTGTCCTCTTTTCCATCCGCGCTCGCTATTTGTCTTTTGCCTTATGTACGCCATACGTCACATAAGACGAACAGTTAGTACAATAGTCGTACGAATAACACTTGATTACTAATGAGATAAATGACAGGTCAGCGTACTCTGTCTAATCCGGACACACATGACCACATGGATTGGCCGAATTACAGAGTGTCGTGATCACATCGTCATTTTCGGAACCAAATTCATTAGTCGGTTCAGACAAAAATCTTTATTGCACAAAGTCGGGTTTACACAGAATGTACTGTAAATAAGTATGTACCGTAGTTGCTATTTCACTCGCACTTGATCTCAATCTGTCAGGTCCCGGGCGACATTATTTTTGTAACCATCTAAGGTGTAAGGTGTCACACCACCTATATATGACCGTTCTTTATATTCTTTAGGAAATAGGTAGGATGAGGGTCTACATTTTGATCCTAAACAATTAGGGAGATCTACGACCCTGCGTACATATAAAGTAGTTGTTTGTTAGGATAACATCCAGATAAAGTGCCACAATTTAATGCAATGTAATTTAAATACAACACAAAGCCGTACAGCAGTCAATCCCGCTTTGCATTTCAGACGTTTTGCACAAACTCAATGCGTATGTACGGGCGGGTATATTAGTTTTCAGTAATCTTTTATGGGGTTTCAAATTATGACACTTTACGGGTCGATCTGGTGAGGAGGTTTTCAATGCATTTTAATTACAGGATATTTAAGTCGCCAGAGTTATTGCTGATATTTAAACAGTTTTACACATATTTGAAGTGAATGAGCAGAAAAAACAGCACCGTGTCATTAGATGTCATCCCCGTAATGGTCTATATATGTGTGGGTCGGAAACATGCATTATTGTATTGTAGACTTATACACTCTGTGACTATTAAGGGTTCGGATCCCCCATACAAATACCCACATTACATCCTGTGACTATAAAGGGTTCGGATCCCCCATACAAATACCCACATAGTACCCTGTGACTATTAAGGGTTCGGATCCCCCATACAAATACCCACATAGCACCCTGTGACTATTAAGGGTTCGGATCCCCCATACAAATACCCACATAGCACCCTGTGACTATTAAGGGTTCGGATCCCCCATACAAATACCCACATAGCACCCTGTGACTATTAAGGGTTCGGATCCCCCATACAAATACCCACATAGCACCCTGTGACTATTAAGGGTTCGGATCCCCCATACAAATACCCACATAGCACCCTGTGACTATTAAGGGTTCGGATCCCCCATACAAATACCCACATAGCACCCTGTGACTATTAAGGGTTCGGATCCCCCATACAAATACCCACATAGCACCCTGTGACTATTAAGGGTTCGGATCCCCCATACAAATACCCACATAGCACCCTGTGACTATTAAGGGTTCGGATCCCCCATACAAATACCCACATAGCACCCTGTGACTATTAAGGGTTCGGATCCCCCATACAAATACCCACATAGCACCCTGTGACTATTAAGGGTTCGGATCCCCCATACAAATACCCACATAGCACCCTGTGACTATTAAGGGTTCGGATCCCCCATACAAATACCCACATAGCACCCTGTGACTATTAAGGGCTCGGATCCCCCATACAAATACCCACATAGCACCCTGTGACTATTAAGGGTTCGGATCCCCCATACAAATACCCACATACACGGGCCGTGCCGTGTCCACGTTTTGGACAATGTCGAGTTGTCAAACAACAATTTTACGCGTATATGTACATAGAACGAAATTGTTCGATATGATACGGATATTTTCGTGAACAGTATGTGTTTCAACTTTAAAATCTTCCATTTGGCAACCCATGTGCATACCAAACAAGTTCAGTGCCAAACCCAATCGCAATTAAAAATGATACACTTTAAACTATTAAAAGTCCTAAACCAACTTGAACCGGTCTTTGAGCTCGAGTCTCTCATAGTAGTATACGTGCTATAATGGCGTATTTTTGTACGTATACCCTAATCGTCTGTCGGGGTGTGTGTATTCGCGTTGATGACAATCATTGCCGGGTATATGTACTCGTAATTGTATCCGTAGGTGATAGAGTGCGGGTTGTCTGACAGAACATAACTCTCACACACCCTCCTTATAGCACCCTCCTCTCACCTTCCCCTCACCCCTACCCCAACACCCCTTAACCCATCACATAGGCCATTGCCCATCCCTCCCTCTCCACTTCTCGACAGCTGTTGTCAAAAATGTCAACTATAAGTTTTTGATTTGCGAAAATATATATAAAAAATAAATAATGTTATGTTTTTCAGACCTGTTACTGCTGAGTGGATTTAACGTTGCGAGACGGTCTAGCATTACCCCTATAACCCGTCTCCTGTAACCGGACATAGGGGCCGGCACATTACCCCAATTGTCCGCCAATCATATTCACTTCATTTCTCATTCTCACCTTTAATGAGGCGATTTCATCAAAGTTCATCAATCAATCAACCCCAATTCAGAAAATCTAGCTCTATAAACCCGTTCTAACAGAGAGAAAACACCGACCATTATAAACAGAGATTTACTCGGTAACACATCAACATCTATACTTTTTGTCACTTGAGCTGTACAGATAGCGCCAGAATATTTTAATCTCAATCCCAGGGCCGTTTCTACAATACCGTGGTGTCCCCTTACCCAGGGATCCCCTTACCGTCCCTGTGTATAGGTGACGAAGAAACACCTATTTAGTGTCAGCCTCTTTTTTCTCCCATTCTTTTCCGGTGAAATATTGCTATATAAGTTGTTTATAAAAAGTCTGTTTTTAGATTGTATTGAGCATGAATAGTTTTTTTATAAAGTATATCGTGCCAGGTACCTTGTATATTTGATTGGTAAGCTTTCTCAATGGTCTTGTCAGAGAGGACGAGAAAAAGGTCATTATGGTCATATCAAATTACCAAACGATTGTCAATTTTAATTAACGTATTCCTTGTCTTTTGCAACAGAAATCAAATTTAATCAATGAGAATATTATATTTTAACAAATAATCAACCGGTATCAGGTTTTGTAGATGTCATACCGCGATACAAACGCTGGTACCAAGATTAGGAATCAGTCTTGATTTAAAAACAATTTTTATTCGTCCACAAAACAAGTGGTTCTCGTGAACGTTAGTCACGAAAGTTGTGAAATAACATAATCGTTAACCTGCCTTTCCACATTGGTAAAATTCCAGTTTGCACACCACTGAACTTTTTTAGTCAATACTCAAATTTGGATTTTTAAACTTTAAGTCTAGATTGTTGATGATGCTGAAGCCAGGTGCGAAACATTCTTACCAGATGAGGTCAGTTAAATGATATAAAACTATACTATACAATCCACAT